TTTCCTTTGCTTCTGACTGCAGCTTTCAGGAGGGTTTCCCCCCCTCCCCCCACTGTCTTTACTGTGAAGGAATCTACATATGCAGGGTGGAACTTGAACTTATCTTCACCTTTCAGTTCAGTTTTAAAGCTAGTGGTGCCCACCTGACTAATGGGTCAGAGCTCATACCAAAACTTAACAGAGGATAGAATTTTTAAAAGAAGAAAAATGATATAATAGTGGCATTTTGCACAACTCTAAATCAGCTTCTCTGCCAAACAGCACCACCCCATCCACTTTTCCCCCATTCTACCAACAAACCAGCTGTAGGACCCTGGAGTGATCAAAGTGTGATAAGCCACACTTGCCTGTTGCTAGGAAACGATGCATTGCCAAGAGCAACTGTGGTGAGATTTTAACCTTCATTTCACTGTCTGTCTGTTTGAAGGCAGAGAAGTCCTGCTTTCTCTCCCGATGGGCTACTTTCTTTTTGGTTTTGTTATCAGCTGGGGATAGAAAAATGAAAGAAATGTTAGATTAAAGCCCAGTAAGAATACTGGGAGATGACACCTAGAAAGAAGAATAGCACTAAGGAATCAACACATCCTATAAGTTGTGAGTAGTTATTTTGACCTGCATCCAGTTGTACAACAAGAAAATCAGGCACCTATACAACGGTCCATTCATCTGATTGTGGTGCTCTTCCTTTTTTTGGCACCTGAATCTATATATCTAATTTCCAGCAGATGGCGCCGTGTGCGGATGCGTATTCCCAGGAAAAGGAAGCTCCCTCTGGCCCAGCAGGTTTTCTTACATATTCATAGTATACCAGTGCCTGCAGAAAAATCCCAAAACTAGAAAAAACCCTTCAGGGACGACTGAATTCCCCCCAAAACCTTTTGAAATGGCCTCTGCAGGGATCTGCTTCAGACATCAACTGTGAGAGAGAGGTTAGAACATTCAGGGCGGGGGGGGAAGAGGCTTCTAACCGGCTCTGTGAGTCAAAGGGTGTGGGGGAAGGGCCCTTTCCAGGCCTCCTTTGGCCTTTCAGGGAGGGAGGGAGCCTTGGGGCCTGGCCTGGGGAGTCCCTAGAGGTTTTGATTGGGGAAGGGAGAAACCTCAGCTGGGTATAATGCCACAGAGTCCACCTTCTAAAGCAGTCATTTTCTCCAGGGAGACAGATCTCTGCTGCCTTCAGTTCAGTTGTAAGTCTGGGGGGGGGTTTCCTTCAGGCCCCACTTAGAGGTTGCCAAGCCTAGGCCTGGCAGCACTTTAGGGTCGCCAGGTTCCCCCCCTGGCCACCGACAGGGGATTCTGGATAAGGTTGCCAGGTCCAGGCTGGGAAACTCCTGGAGATTTGCGGGAGGAGCCTGGGGAGGACAGGGACCTCAGTGGGGTACAATGTCACAGAGTCCACCCTCCAAAGCATCCATTTTCTCCATGGGGAGTTATCTCTGTAGTCTGGAAATGAGCAGGAATTACAGGGGATCCCCAGGTCCCACCTGGAGGCTGGCATCCCTCGGCAGCACCCTCTGGGTGACTTGATACCACCTGATTTGCATGACTCAAGTAGGCCCAGCTGCTTGCTACTGTTCATCAGCAGCCACCCTATGAAAGCCAGTGTGATGTAACAGAGCTTCAGATTAGGGTCTGCGAGACCCAGGTTCAGATCCCCATCTTGCGGTGGAAGCTGACTGGGTTATTTTGGACCAGTCACATACATTCAGCCTAGCCCACCTCACAGGGTTGTTGTGCAGATAAAAAGGAGGAGAGAATAATGTAAGCTGCTTTGGTTCCCACTGTGGAGAAAGACTAATTTTCCTAGGTAGAGGCTGTGGGGGAGGGGTGTGAAGATGGAAAGTTGCAGACTGAGAGGCAGATAAAGGTAGGTTGGCTGTTGGGTGGGAAGGAAATTGTGTTGCCAACTCCAGGTTGGGAAATTCCTGGACATTTGTGGGATGGAGCCTGGGGAGGGTGGGATTTGAGGAGGGAAGGAACTACAGATCAGTATAATGCCATAGCTGGAGGAGAAAAAGAAAAAAGGGGGGGTAGAAGGGAGAAAGAGTGTGAGAGAGGTAGAGGGAGACAGGAGGAAGCAAAGGTGTGAGGAATAGGATAACCATTCCGCAAGTTTCTTGCGGGTCTCCACTTGTATACAGTATTTCCATTGCAAGTATCAAAGCGAATGAATTTAAAACATTTTCCCTATGGTGGTGCTGCAGAACACAAGATGAAGCAAAGGGCTCCCAGGGACATCACACCTTGTTCCACTGCATAGCTACTGGCATTCAGATTCCCCCTTTTTCTAGGGAAGCAGAAGCCATCAGCATCACTGTATCAGAAAAGAAGAAATGCCTCTATGTATTACAGGACAGCCACATAGGGTAGAAACAGTGGACCACCCAAAACTCCTAACATAACATCTTTAGAGTGGCTTCAACATTTGAGAGCTAGCACATGTTTTAATTAAGTGATGGGAGTTTTAAAATCCATTTAAACTAAATGAAAATAACTGGCTGCTGCCTTGCACAAAACATCACTATAGTTACAGAGCAAATAGAGTAAAATACCTTGATAGGACAGGTCTGTCTGTAGCAATATGGGGACACATAATGGGTAACTGATTGTACTGAATAAGTCATATGGTGTTAACTATAAAAGTACATGAAAATATGTAATTAACAACATTATAACTGGTTAAAAATAAAAGTGGCTACAGAACAGCTAATTTTCCCGTTATGAGCAAAGTAAAAATGATGCCTTTTTTAGAAGTAAATAATATATATTAATACTTGGACACCCATGACATTTCACAGAATAGCACCAGTCATTTCACTCAGTAGTCATGTATATATAGGAGAGGAATGTTGGGAGCATCTCTGCATGATCCAAACTGAGCTTTTGTTTTCCCTTCCTGTTGCAGGTTAAAAAGTCTGGATATAGTTAGAATTGTGAGCCTTTAGACATAAGTTGAAGGGCAAGAGCCAAAGGAATCTTGGCCCTTCACTCTTAGCCCATGGCTTTGGATGAGCTTGCCAGCACCAACCCAAGATGTAGCTTATTGTGCTTTTGTTTTTTATTTAAATAGTATTCTTCTAAACAGTTCTGGGTCCTCACTGGGGAGAAAAGTGGGGTAGGAAATACCTAAATAAATAGATAATATGTATCACATACAGCCATCATATAGATTTCAGTGGTGTAGCAATGTTAGTCTGTTGGATCTTGTGGAACCTTAAAAAAGACTTACAGTCTTTTAAGCAGCACAAGGCTTGTGTTTTACTCAGTAAAGCTCTCCTGCTGTGCCTGTTACCCGTGTCTTGGTCTACCCACTTCTAGGTGGGGGCTGGTTGCACTGTGACAAATGCTTCTCTAGCCTCTTTTCTTTTTTCCTTTTCAAAATTTTGGGGTGAGGAAGGAGAGATCATACTGGCAACAGTGAACCTGGTCTTATTCCTCTTACTTTTCAGCCAAGTGGGATAGGCAGAAGGTGGAAACTGCTATGAAAGGTAGGGGAGAAGGGACAGCTTTCTCCTCTTCCTACTCCCTAAAATAGATGATAGATTTTTTTCAGAGAACTGATGGTTATATTAAACAGAGATTACTGACCAGGATGCCCTCACACTGTTTTTACCACTGGAAAAGCAGGCTTTATACTCTGCCAAAACCTGCAAAACCTATTGAAATAGCTGTAAAAGTGGGCCAAAACAAAAGGGTTATGCACATTTTAATAGACTCCCTCAGTTTAATCAACTTTCTTTCATTATTACTTATAGCAGGTTGGAGAGGAGAAGGGTTAAATCACTGGTGAATTAGTTCATTAGTTACCCCACGGTTGCATGCCGGCAGTAAAAAACTTTTCTATAAGATTCCATGTCATGGTGCAGGGATGGGTGCTCAGCAAGCCCGTAGCCATGGGGGGGGGGAGGCTGATGATGGTGACGCCCCCTCACTAATCTGCTCAGCCCCGCATAGCCCTGCCCACCTCCCATCCGCCCACACCAGCCTTGCCCAGTCCTCAGGCAGCACTTCACCATGGTGCCTCCATGACGGCAGTAGCAGTGGCTCACTCCAGAGGGCTCCGACAATGGCAGCCTGACCCACAGCTGGGGGGGGGGGCTTGAGTCAGTTTGGTGTCGTGGTTAAGAGCGTGGACTCTAATCTGGGAGACCTGGGTTTGATCCCCCACTCTTCCACATGCAGCTGCAGGTGTGACCTTCAGTCAGTAACAAGTTCTTTCAGAGCTGTTCTCTCAAAAGCAGTTCTCAAGGGAGCTCTTTCAGCCCCACCTACCTCACAGGGTGTCTATTGTGGGGAGGGGAAGGGAAAGGGATTGTAAACTGCTCTGAGACTCCAAGTGAAAGGTGGGGTATAATCCAATCTCCTCTTCTTCCTGTGGCTCAGCAGCTCCATGACAGCAGCAGTGACGGCGGCTCAATGGCAGCCTGAGCAAGCTAGAAGTAGGAAAACACGGCAAGGCTATACAATGGCCGCCCTCTCCCTCTCCTCCTGCTCTGCCAGCTCAAGCTCCCCCACAGCTGCGGCTCAGGCTGCCATCGTCGGAGCCCACCAGAGCAAGCCACTGCCGCTACTGTCACAGATGCATCGTGGGTGGAGCTGCTGGTGGGTGAGGCGCTGCTTGAGGGCTGGGCAAGGCTGGCATGGGCAGCCAGGAGGCAGGTGCGCATTCCCCCACTGCTTCTGGTATTTGCTCCCCCCAACGGGAAAATTCTGGCTACAGGGCTCCTTTAGATGCAGATGGACACTGAGGTGCCAATTTTAATTCTTAATCAATTTTTCTCAAAAAATAAACATGTCAGAACCATATTAGAAAGGCTTTCTACTTCCACAGAGGGAAAATCATGGAGAGTAATACTCACTGTAGAGATCTGTTTCATCTAGAATCTCAGACTTGATGATCTCTTCAATTACATCTTCCAAGGTAACAATGCCCAAGACTTCATAAAAAGGATCCCCTTCCCCTTCATTGTTCACCCGTTGTACTATTGCCAAGTGAGATTTACCTGCACAGAGTAGTAGACCAAGAAATTAGACATTAAAGCAGAGTAACCACCCAGCTACTCTCAAAATGATACAGAATGTCACAGTATCCTGCAGTACAATAACAGATATTTAAAGGGATTTTATCATTGAAAAAATATATACCTGAAAATGTGCCTAGCATTACTGTTAACAAATTAACAGCCCAATTATAAGCAGAAGTGTACCTTTCAAAGTTCACTGTAGTCAACCACAAGCACAAAAAAATCTATAACATTCCCACAATTCTAAGACCATTGCCTTGTATTAAGCATCCCTCCCTTTCCCTTCAACTTCATAACCATCACTAGCATTCTTCCCTACTCCTGTTTCCTCCTCCCTTCCTCCAGTATCCTCTGTGATAAGGGAGAACAATTTCAAATACATTTGAAATGAGTTAACACCATAACTAAAGAATGAATCTGCAAAGCATTTTTGGGTAATGTACTACAGCTCTATCATACAGAAATTGTGATAGCTGAAACAAATGGTGCTACACTAAAACAAACAAACAAAAAACCCCACGTTCAATCAGATAAGTTCTATAGAAGCTCCAGCTTCCTTTATGACATTACAGGTGATAACCAGCATCCTGTTGAATTTGTACCATAATTAACAGACATGGATGAAAATTGGATGTGCCACAATCAGGCAACATTTTTATTAGACTTATTCTGTATGAAACTTCACATGCATAACTGATTTATGTAATGAATCTTTTGATTTTAGAGAAAGGTATGTCATAAATCTGAAGGCTTCATGAATGCTGTTTATTTTAATGACAAATATTTTTCAATAGAAATCCTTCTAAGAATAGTTATTTATATTTTAAAATTATGCACACATGGACCATTTCTATGGCTACTAGTATGCCCAAATCAACCAGGTGCTTCCTGGTTATAAATTGCTTTTACATCTAACAGAACTAATCAAGGAGCTATTAACCAACTCTGCAAAGTCTAAATAAGTCTTGAAAGAATTTCCTAGACGTTTAGGAACACACTGTCTACTAACCTAACCCATTTAACGATTCTTAAGGCTGCAACCCTATGCATATGTGGAAGTAGGTCCCATCAACTCAGTGGGAGCTACTTGTGCGTAAATAGCCATAGGCTTCAAGACCACTATCCAGCTCATCCACACTCAAGATAGTAACCAGAACAGATAGCCTACTTGCTTAGACTCCTTTATAGGCAGTAAGAATTTGGTACAGGAATCTATTTACTAAACTAACAAGCATTCAAATTATCCTACCCAAGCTAACTCATGCCCAAGGAATGATGATATCTTGGAAAAATTAGACCAGGGAGGGGACCTTATCAACAACCAACATAAACACTGCACCAGGTCAAACCAATTCAGCTCGGTAAGCTTCACATCTGCTTTCCCAGGGACTCAACATAAGCAGTTAAAAACAAATTCTTTGTGAATACTGTCTGTCGAAAGCTAAATTCTTTTGCTATTCCCAGCTTGTGATCATTTAAAAGGAATTTTCCAAAGCAAGGTCTAATATTAGACTCAAAATGAAGTTTCCATTCCACTTACACGATATTCTCACCAAAGTAACTACTGCATAATCTGATTGTCTTGGAGCTACTCGTTTAGATGCAGATGGACATACTTTAAATACCTACTTCGCTACGCCAATAAGACTTATCTTGAAGGGTCCTTGTTTTACAATATGAATAGTTATTACAACAATTATTTGTCTCTAAAGTTATGCACATGCTAATAAATTTTGGTCAAGCCATAATTACTTCCTTGTAGTAATAATCATGCTATTAATTTCCACTTTAACATCAGAAGTCCTAAGCCAAGTGTGTTAGGAGCTTTGTGACTGTAACTGGCATTGGCAAGAGTATTTAATTTTAGGGATCACGGAGGAGACATTGGAAACACATTTGCCAGCTGTAGAAGATCAAGGTTGAACATCTGTCTCCTTTCTCTTTTAGGTATTTTCAGGTCCTGGGTGTGGCCAGAGGTGTGAGCCTTTTAGCAAGAGGCCAGCTTTTAGTCTGCGGTTCAAGTTTTGTGGCCTTCAGTGAACTGGCCCTGACAGATCTTGGATGAACCCTGGTGTTCTAGTGATTGCTGTTTATTTAGAGTTGCCAACCTCTAGGTGGGGCCCGGAGCTCTCCCACTTTTACTACTGATCTCCAGCTGACAGAGATCAGCTCCCCTGGAGAAAATAGCTGCTTTGAAGGGTGGGCTCTATGGCATTGTACCATGCTGAGGCCCCTCCCCTCCCCAAACCCCAACTTCTCCTGGCTTCACCCCCAAGGTCTCCAGGTATTTTCCAACCCAGACCTGGCAACCCTATGTTTGTTGCTGGTTGTTTAGTTATATTTATGTTTTTAATAAGTCACTTTGTATCCACAGTGAGGAGAAAAGCAAGATATAAATATTTATATAAATTCTAAATGCTCTTATTATAAAAAAATTAAATCCAGAAGATAAGGGTCTTTCATCAACAGAATAAAAAGGGCTGGGGTGTGTGTAATAGTATTTAACATTTCCTACTACACTCTAAATTCTCATTTTAATAACCTTTTTATTGTTTTCATTTACTCTACAGCACACAGAACAGTTGAAAAGGTCTGTATGATATCACAAATTACTCACGCTCATGTCAGAGATATGCAAACTGTAGTGTTCATGTGCAAACAGTAGAAACTGCAGTGTTCAGGTAAACCAGCTTGCTTGAGGCACATGTGCAAATGTTCTTTAATTCTGGCTCCTTACTCTTGCTCTTTAATGCTTATTAATATTAAGGACAACACTCCCAATGAAAGCCTTGTTCATTACTGTGACCAAATCACCTAACCATTCACCCCCTTGTTTGGTGAGCTCTTTTTTCTTTGGCCAAGTTTCTTCTTTATCTTGCAAATGTTATATATGGCTGCTATAACCTACTAGAGATAAAGCCCTCTCTTGATCCTCAGTGGACTTGTTTTGGGAAGAGATGCCTGGATTTCCACACAGCTCAGCCTTGCTGATGGTGGGATAAATAATTCCCATGGGGCAATACAAAATGGTGCATGTGTGCAGTGCCGTCAGCAATATTTGTGTCAAATTACGAGTTGAGAAAGAACACACTTTACCAAGAAAACTGTTTCAAAACATTCTGCTTAGAAAGAAGATAAATACCAAGCTAATTTTAAATGAAGCTATGGGGATCTCATCAAGCATTACTTCTGTATAAACCTAGCTAGAATTCGGTTGTAAATCATGCATTTTGGAAGACAGCCATTTTCTTTCATTGACACAAATGAGTAGGACTTCTTTGGAGCTCAACTAGAGTTGCAACATTTGATTACTCCAAACAAATATTAATTGGTGGATCCATTAAGTAACAGTGCATATTTAATTTCTGAGGCTCCTTAGGATTCTGACCTATTAAAGTATTTTAACATCATCTATCTTTCTAACTCGAGCCAGACATCCTGGAATGTGAAGTTAAATGGGCCTTAGAAAACATTACTAACAACAAAGCTAGTGGAGGTGATGGTATCCCAGCTGAGCTATTCAAAGTCTTAAAAGATTATGCTGTTAAAGTGCTGCACTCAGTTTGCCAGCAAATTTGGAAAACGCAACAGTGGCCACAGGATTGGAAAAGGTCAGTATACATTCCAATCCCAAAGAAGGGCAATGCCAAAGAATGTTCAAACTATCGCACAATTGCACTAATATCACACGCTAGCAAGGTCATGCTCAAGATCCTACAAGCTAGGCTTCAACAGTACGTGGATAGAGAACTGCCAGAAGTACAAGCTGGGTTTCGAAGAGGTAGAGGAACTAGAGATCAAATTGCCAACATTCGCTGCATTATGGAGAAAGCAAGAGAGTACCAGAAAAACATCTACTTCTGCTTCATTGACTATGCTAGAGCCTTTGGGAGAGTCATCTGGAGATCTCTTGCATGTTTGGCATCTTTAATTTGCACAGGATCCATTCTATACAATCCTGACCCTCATGAACCTGTGCTTGTCATTTCCCCAGAAAATGCTTTCCTGGGGACACCTTCTTTGGGGGAGCCATAACTCGAACCCCATAAATTCAATCCTCACCAACCTTGGCATGTAGGTAGAGGAGGGTTAGCCGGATATCCCTTGTGAGTTTGGTGTCTCTATCATGCTGAGGGGTGTTCTACCATGTCACAAACCTCACAAATGAAACTGGTTTATTTGTGATGTTTCATGGTTCATGAAGCTGGCATACCATGAACCATACCACATTTTCCCAGTTCATGCCCATCACTACTCAACACCAGTTCTCTAGGTGAAATCCATCTGGTTGTCCTCATGAATTACCCCTGCATTGACCCATGTGGATCTATAAGAACCAGATCATCACTGAGACAGTACCCTAAGACCACAATTGTACCTTTAAAGATTGACTACCTCTTTCAATAGTCTTTCAGTAGTCATGTATGGCTGCGAGAGTTGGACTATAAGGAAGGCCGAGCGCCGAAGAATAGATTCTTTTGAACTATGGTGCTGGAGAAGACTCTTGAGAGTCCCTTGGACTGCAAGAAGAACAAATCAGTCAATCCTCAAAGAAATCAACCCTGACTGTTCCCTGGAAGGCCAGATAATGAAACTGAAGCTCAAATACTTTGGCCACCAAATGAGAAGGGAGCACTCACTGGAGAAGACCCTGATGCTGGGAAAGATTGAAGGTCAAAGAAGACGGGGACGGCAAAGGATGAGATGGTTGGACAGTGTCATCGATGCAACGAACATGAAACTGAGCAAACTTCAGAGGACAGCGGAAGACAGGAGGGCCTGGCGGGATCTAGTCCATGGGGTCGCGAAGAGTCGGACTCGACTGTGCGACAGAACAACAACAACATCTTTCTAACACAGTGTTTGGTAGCATTTTGTTTTTAAATTCTGTGGTCTCATATACCTCTTTAAACATCTCCAAAAGATTAAAGGTAATATTAAGTCATATTAAAATGTTGGTAATATACAAATACAAGAAG